CACTACAGAGAATAAATTCACATTCTCTTCCTTGTGATAGTCATTCAAGTATTGAAAGATTGCTATCATCTCTACCTTTAAGATAAAGGAAACCTGCCCGGTTCTTTTAGGAACTATAGGATTTCACTTCCAAGCACTTCATGTCTCTCTATATCCTTTCCAGTTTCTCAGCATCCTTCATGGATTGTGGTGACCAAAACAGGATACAATCTGACCAATGCAGCAGAGCCTGAAACTATCACTCTCTGTGATCTTATATCTTATATTCCATTGGTTCTTTTGGTAGATATGGCGCTCTATTGGTTCATGTTCAATCTTCAGATTCCTAGGACATCCACATTCTTTTCACAAGTACTATCATGCTTTTTCCAAGTCAGAAGCCACTTATAATATTTATAACAGGGGAAAAATGCAGCAATGCTTTAATTTGTTAACAGCTCCTAATTCTAGTAATTGATTGTCTAAAGTGGCCAAGTGGTCAGATGAATGTGGGCAAAAATTATATAGCCAAATCAGAAAGATTTGGGATTGCTATTGTTACCCACTTTCTAATAAACATGATTTGGATTTTTACCTGTTTTTTCCACCAAAAAAAGGATTCTTATTTTGCAGTCATCTCAAAGTTCCATTAGCAAAATGATTGCTACTTCCCCTCTTCAGTCTTCTCTCTCTTTCTTCCCCTTCTGCAGGGTGCTGGAAAAATGCAAACCTCATAAGGTCACTGAAAATTATATTAGGTGTGTGTTGTGATCAAATTTCAAGTGAGATTATTTAACATTGTGGTGGAATGTTGTTCAGAGACACAACAGGGAGGTATATTTCCCAAGGAGCAAGGGGGCTGTTCATTGTGGAAGTTTTGATGTATAGGAAGAGAGCCAAGGTAACCCTCCCTAACCTTTTACAGAGTACATGTAATAATTTGTGCAAATTTGTGCTTAAGTCTGGCAAGATTCCTGTCTATAGGTGAGCAACAGTACTTGGAAGTAACTTCTCATGTCATTCTTGATTCCTTGCACCTCACAAACCTACAAAAAAAAAGTCCCCAGTGCTTGACTGAGGATAATGTGACCTTATTTCTCATTCACACCCTCCTTTTCTTGCTGATAGCTTTCTTTCCGCTACAGTGGCCCAGCAACCCTCTCTGCCCTCTGCTGACCTTGTTCAAACCTGATGACACAGCACTTATTGGTTCATCAGCTCAGGGCAGGTTTTTCCATCAGTATAAAGTTTTGAGGAGGACTTTTCCTAAAGCCATCTGATCTAATTTTCTTTAAAAATCATTAACATGCTGCTGAAAATGAGTACATTATTAGTTGTACTGACTAGAAGGCAAAAATGATAGAAGGCAAGAGATTGAAGGGATTTAAAAGAGGTGGCTCATTGAGTTTAGTTTTGTTTTTGTTCCTTGCTTGCATATGTAAAGATCAGAGAGCCAAGCACAGAGGACAAAGCCTTTGTTAAATAAAGAATGCAGAGGTTTCTTCAGGTCTGGTAGAATTAATAGAACTGTGAACTTCATATTTTATGTAATAGAGAATAAGTAGAGCCTCTCCCCCTCCCAATCAATTTCCTTCTTCCCTGATTTATCTTTTCTGGAATGCACAAGAAGCAATTTGTCTTAATCCTTTTGGTTGGGGTTCTTTTTTTTGTGGAGGGGGGGGGGACCTGTCTACAATTTAGTTAAGTGCATCAAGTCAGTGTTGACCTCCAGTGACTGCATGGATAAATCTCATCTCAACCTGTCTCTAGTAATAGTCTGGACCTTCTGGAGTTTCTTTTAAGAATATTTTCACTTAATATCACTACTCCATTTTGTCTCTTTAACTTCCCTTTATTTCCAGTTTCCTCTACCTAAACATGTACGTACACACAAACACATACATGTATGTACACACACTATATATATTAGGGCCATTAAGCATTGCATCTTAGGTACAAAGTATGGTAGCTTGGAGTCCTTTCCCTACTGCTGATTTAAGGTGATGCCCATCTTGATCCAAGATGGCGCCGACAATTGCTGCCTCGGTGAAATGCTCTTTAATGGTTTCTTTATTCTTTATTATTCTCTGCAATTCACTATGGATGTCATACTCACGAGACTATCTGCTAAGAATTGGGCAATGTTTCTTTAAGGAGCAGCTTTCTGATTTCTCACCCACCCCCCACCCCCCAGTCTTTGCAAATGCTGAGGAGATTCTAACTAATTCCCTGGTGCTATGGATTACAACAAACAAAGGAAAGAAGCGGCAGTGCCAAAAAAGGAGATGAGATAAAAGAGCAGGAATTTTAAATAGACTAAAGAATGGGGGGGGGGCTCTCCCTTTAATCTTTCTGACTAATTTACGCTAACTTGCTAACAAGATGGATGAAATTCTCCTTTTAAATAGATGCAATTCTGATTTCTACAATTCAGCAGTTCTCTGTTTTACTGAAACCTGGCTTAATGCAGAAATTCATGATGACAACAGCATATACATCCCAGGATTTCAGATATTTAGATCAGCCACTCTCTTTATATCATCCAAACATCATTGTACTGACATAACAGTAATGAGGATAGGTTTTGTACTATCTCAGTGATGGTTAGATGATGCCATAAAGATGTTTTAGCTTTCTAATGAGGAAGGGCAGGAAGTGCAGCATAAGGCAAAAACAAATGGTAGAACAGGATGTATCACTTTAAATTGCAAATAAAAATATTATTCATGAATGTTTCTTTACATAAAATTCTGAAGCTCTTAAACAGAATGCTAGCATAATATGCTGGGATGAAATCTTTCAGCGCCTCACTATTTTTTTTTATTTTATTTACAAGAGATTTGGAGGTAAAGGCTGAAATCTCCCTCCCATTTTTAAAAGGATTCCCGCCAATTGATTAAAATGGTATAATTAACTTTCTGCTATTTTCTTCTGTGAGATGTGTTGATCAGGCTTCTGACAAAGGAGCTTACTGCTATAAATTTCCCAATAAAATCAAACAAACATATTGAAAGCAAACATTACAATATCTGTCTGAGAATTCTAAAAACGTAAATGTGGAGATGATGTTTTCCTGAGGCCAATTTCTATAACATTAGAAACATTATACAATTCCAGTTTATAAAAGGGACCCAAAAAGGAAGCTACTGGATTATAGTCTCTTCTAGATAATTGCTGCAAAAGTTAATAAAGACCACATTATCAAGGAAAAGTCAAGGACAGATCTTAAGAATCAATATGGCTTCTGCAAATAAAGTCTGCAAACTTAATATTTAATAAAGTTTTATTTCATCAACACTGTCAAAAGCATGTAGACTAAAGATTTTGTAGTTATTATTAATCTGGATTTTCAAAAAAGCATATGTTTAAAATTCCTCCCAGAACAACTCTTCAGTTACCATATAGCACCGAATTGGAGGTTCTCTACTGGCCAATATTTAGTTGAAGAACATATATAAGTTGAAGAGTTTTAATAAGTAATAATCCCTTCATGTTCTGTTAGAACTAGAAATCATTAATTATTCCATATATGATGGACAGTAAATGACAAGAAGTGGTCCAGGTTTGTTCAGGAAGATTAAAATAAAACTGAAGAAGACTAAAAAAGATTTAAGAAGATTTCATCAAACTGATGGAACAGACATCCGTCTCAACCTTAGTTATGAATAAAAAGGTCAAAGTAATGTTTTGTTTTGATTTGCAACATGATGAACAGAATATAAAAGCAAAATAACCTTATTTAATTAAATTAACTAGGAACCTGAAATTGGGTAATAAACAGCTGTTAAACCTTTGTTGTGAAGTTAATATGTTTAAAACAGGGGATTAAAAAGTGATGTATTTTTACTTCTCATATTCATTTTTAATAAATAGATTTGTCAAGGTTTTATATTGTAGTCTTGTTTTTTTGTTTTATTCCTTTGCTTTTATTTTTGTTGTTATTTTATACTGTATTGGGGTCATTGGTAGAAAACTGAGTTAGCTGTCCAAGAAATAGATCTTGACACTATAGTTTATGGCTTGATGAAACTGTTCATTGGATGTGATTGCTGTGCAAAATGCAACTTCCATGTTGGAAGTTCTTAAGACAGGAATTGAAAATAGATCAATAGATAAAATAGTATTTTAAACTGATTGCTGCCTCTCAAATGATTGTATTATATTATGCAGCTTGAAAAGACTGCATAATTAAAATGATAAAGAGGATATGAGTAATGATTTGGGAGCAATGAGTCCAGTTTCCCCCCCAAAAAAACAATGAGCACAATTTGGGAGACATTTTACATTAGGGAAAAAAGCACCCCTGAATAAGATGAGGAGTGGTATTTGATTATAAAATTATATATTAATTGGGGTTTTTTTTCCTCTCCAGCTGAGTCAAAGAGGTGCCCATTTTTTTTAAAGAAAATTATCAGCCTATTCCATAGCAGATTCAGTATGTCACATTCTGTTATTTTAGTTTCTGAACAGGATCTTTAAAAAGAATAACAAGCTTAGTTTTTTTTAATTCTATAAGAGTAGATAGATTCCCCCCCCCCCCCCCCAATCTCCAGCACTTTCACTTCGTATAAATAACAAATAGCTGGTCTGTGCAATATTAGATTTCTTCTAAAAATGTATACTTCAGAACAGAAATTCATTAAAACATTAATTGCAAACTACTTGGCTCTGCAGGATAGATTTTTGTATTTTTCTGCGGGATTGGGGGGGGGGGGTAGTACAGCTGAGAAAGGGCAAACATCTAATATTGGTGTAGAAAATTATATTTTCCTCAAATTCTTTTACCAAGAAGAATTTGCCTGTAATTATCTGTACCTGCTCACACATATATAGTTCCTAAATTAGAAAGAGAAATTGACTGAGAAAGACATGTAACAATCTGAGTGAAAATCAGTGAGAATGATATCTATAGAAATAGTTATTCATTCTATGCATATCTTCAAGTAATTGTTGACTATTTAATTATCAGGCCATTGTAAAAACTTGAAATAATAGCCAGTGCTAACCTACTGATTTTGCAGCTTGAATTTCAATGGAGTTCATCTGGCATCCGCTGGGCAGTTCAGTGATTTCTTGGGCAGCATGGGACCAGCACAGTTTGTGGGTCGCCAGACCTTGGCCACTACCTCCATGGGTAAGAAACAAAAAAAAATATTTTTGTCTGAATGTAAGTATTCATTTAGCCTAATCTATCTCTGTGGTGCTTTAGAAAGAATTGGCTAGATCAGGGGTGTCAAACTCAAGGCCCGTGGGCTAGATTTGGCCCACAGGGTGCTTAGATCTGGCCTACGGGGCCGGCCTGGAAATAGCAAAGGACTGACCTGCAGTGCCTCTGCTAGTGAAAATGGGTCATGGAGTGGCTGCCTGTTCTCCCTGTGCCCCATTTTCAGCCTGGACAGCCTCCTGCAGCCTCCTGCCAGCCAAAATGGGACTCAGGAGGACTGCGCGCAGCCCCCCTCGTGCCCCGTTTTGGCCGGCAGGATGCTGCAGGAGACGTCCTTCCCAACTGTGGTCCATCCTGTCTCCTCCCCTCCCCCCCAGCCGGCCCGTGGAGGACAACTACAATGCTGATCCTCAAAGAAATCCAGTTTGACACCCTGGGCTAGATGAATCCATATCACAAGAGGTCAGGGAAGACAACAGGCAGAGATATGGAGAAAAAGAGGAAAGGAATAAGTCCTAATTTCAGTAATATACTTTGCCTTAGCAGTTAAAAGGATAAAGAGATTAAAAGGTTTTCCAATGTTCATAAGGAAGCAACCAGTGCAATTGAGACGGACAGTTTAAATTGAAGGAAAAACAGATGAAAAGGTTTAAACTATATTCTCTTCAACTTAGTGATCTGCAGCAGTAATCTTTTGTTCCCCGAATGCTGTAACATTCTGTTTATTAAAGCAGACCCATTTCCTTCCTAGCTTGAAACACTTCCTTACATATAAGATGGCTAAGGGGTCCAGGCCATCCTTTTCTCTGTCATCACAGGCCCTTAATAATGGGCATGGCATTGCAATTGGAACCTTGCTCATATTGTGTATGGATGCAAGGTGGAATAACCTCTGTCACAATGCCAGGACCACCATCTTATCGATTTTGCCGCTCTATCCACACTATAGATATCTTCGGGTGACCAACTTACGTGGTAATCTGTATTAGTTTAAAAAGAGCTATGCCCTACTCTGTAGAGTTGTCTATTACCATACTTTACATATTTAGAAATGTTGTTCTATTACAACATATCTAATTATGCTATGAAGTTCGGGAGGGATGGAGGGAAGATAGAAGGAAAGAAAGAAGAAAAACGAATCTTCTGCAGAACAATCCCTGTAGCTGCAAGCAATTCTTTGTAACCCTGTCCCAAAAATGGGCAAGGATTCCTGAAATTAGCTGAAGCAAGGAGGCAAAACAGAATGATTAGCAGTGTTTTGGAGTATTTCTTGAGGAAAAGGTCAAAGAGAAACAGATGGAAAAAGTGCAAGCATGTTCTTTCTGGGCAGATGGTCTCTTCCCCCCCCCTCTCTTTTCCTTGTTGATTCAGATAATATCTTTAATTGTAGCTGTTTTTTCCCATCTTATTTGCACTATTGCCACTGTAGTATTGTTAGAGGAAATGTAGCAGTTAAGATGCTGCCCCGTAGATCAAAACAACTCAGCTTCACGTGACCATAGAGCTCACAGAGTGATTTGGGGGGGGGAGGGGGGGCTGGTTCTTCTTTCACAGCCTAACCTATCTCAAAAGGTTGATATTAAATAAAATCATGGGGAACCCTCCATGCAAACTGTCCTGAACTGTCCTGTTAGTAAAATAAACAGCAATTGTATTTAAACTTACATGCTATCCCATAGTGCTTTACAGCACTCTGTTTACAAGGTAAGCATTATTTGCATACTGCCCCCAATGATCTGGGTCCTCATTTTACTGACCTTAGAAGGATGGAAAGCTGAGTCAACCTTGAGCCCCGTCAGGATCAAACTCCAGGCTGTGGGCAGAGCTGCACCACCAGGGCTCCAATAAACAAGCACAAATTTAAAAAATGAGGATTTGGGTCTCACATGAATACTCCTTCCTCATGGTGTATTTAGTGCTAAATTGCTGAGGTGATGGGTGAACACAAAATGTCTGGAAGGAAGTGTTTGGAAAAGCTATCTCTAAATGTTGCAATTTCTCTTAGATATAATCAATGCTCAATAGACCCTGTATATTTAAAAGCCTTTTAAATGTAAAGAACCTGTTGAATATTGCTCTTTTCTATGGGATATTGGGATTAAACATTAAGACTATTTGGTTTTTAATTTACACCTTGCTTGGTGCACAGGAGATGTGGAAATTGGATTGCAAGAACGAAATGGACAACTGGAAGTGGATATTATTCAAGCCCGAGGATTGACCGCAAAGCCTGGGTCTAAAACCCTTCCAGGTACTATATTTCAATCTCAGTTCTTTCTTCCTTTTAATAAAATGTTGTTTCCTCACTGTTGTTACAAAATGCTGGACAATAGCTGCACCCTTGTTGTTGTTAGTAGAAGCTGCTTGATTCTAGAATGAATAATCAGTAAGGACAGGTGATTTTACAGCAATTTATTTCTCTGTACAGTGCACCTAAGTGTTTTAGTGATAGCTGAATGATTTGAAGTCCTTCTGTGAGATATTTTCAGAGATGGATAAACACTTTTAAAGATGTTTAAAATAAAACCCACACCTTTTGAAAAGTTGCAATCCATTGTAAAATATTCCCAGACCCAAGCAAGTCTAGATTAAGGCTTGAAATATTTTGCCAATATTCTATTTTCACCAGCTAGTTTTTTCCTGCCAATCCACTCCCAAAAAGTGCCCCTTCATCTTTCCTTAATATTGTGCAGGGTATAAACTGGGGACTAATCTGAGAAGACATTGGCCAATTTTGATTGGCCAATTTTGCCAGTGACAATTTACCTGAACAATTCCTGGATTTGGAGTGATGTTCCTAAGCATTCAAGAACTGATATGGCTGGATAGGCAGGAATGTTAGCTACTCTACTAGGTAACGTGACTGCATGGAGTAAGCAATCTATTAGGGCAGTGATCCCCAACCTTTTTGACGCCGCGGCCCGGTACCGGCATCAGCTGGGCGCCGCGGCCCGGTACCGGCATCAACTGGGCGCCGCCATCTTTTTTTGATGAAAAAGTGCTTCCGGTGAGCTTACTACCCGGAAAAGCTCACCGGAAGCACTTTTTTACCAAAAAAAGATGGCGGCGCCCAGCAACCAGCGGCCCGGTAAGACTTGTTCCGCGGACTGGTACCGGTCCGCGGACCGGCGGTTGGGGACCCCTGTATTAGGGTACCGTTTTGCTTGCAAAAGGGATGAAGAAAGGTATGAGAAAGGGAAGATCAAACCATTTTGTTATTCTCCTTATACGGTAGTTCCCACATTTTTGCATTTCTGTTTCAAGACATTGAGGATTATTATTGCAAAATGATGGGCCATGAGCAAGAATAGTTCACCAATTGTTAAAACCTAGTAAGAATGGTTGGTTCCATGTCATTGGTTAACTTTATTATAAAGTCTGTTATAGAGATAAAAAGGTGTGTGCAAGATAGTGAGAAAAACTCTTCCAACCATTGCTAAGAATTGGACTTTTCATTATAATTGTGAACTGTCATTGTAGCTGTAAATAAATCAAGCTATCGCTATGGGAAATCAATTGCACTCCATGTAACACAATTTAATTACACAGGAGTGGTCTTATGATGTGTGATCCATAGCAGAAACACAGTACACAAAGATTAAAGTGTATCTCGTTTCCCTCCCTGCTATGATTGGAACAAAAATTCATCCCTTTATGCAACTAGGAACTCTAGGAAGAAAACCCCCTTCTTACTTTTCTTACTGGGAAACTTAATTTTCACAAGGTCTCTAGCTATGAGAATGGAATGAAATTTTTGTTCCAATAAGAAGAAATAAGATGTTCTGTCTCCATGCACTGCTTTCCCAGTAAAGACTGAACACACATATATATTTGCATATCTACTAGCAAGCCAATGCAATTCACAAAGATGAATGTTAATTCTACTGAATTGACTAATGTTGATCACTGTATGAGGAGTTGTATTTTGCACCAACTGCAACTTCTGAGTTGCCTTCTTAGAAGGCAGGCAGCTTAACTGGGAGATGAGTCACTGTTTTCTGCACTTCGTGGTTGAGGAAAATTTGCAACTGACCAAACAGCCAGAGCTGGCTGAAAGTTCCCTGGCCACAGATCCCAACTTGCTGCTCTACTGAAGCAGTGAAACCAGAAGAACCCTCAGTTTGTACATCAACTTCTTCAGATAAACACAATTCCATCAAGAGTAATAAATGAAGCAAATACGGCCCAGAAGGCATTTGTATAAACAGTAACATTGTCTTAATGGGAGTCAGTTTCAGTTTGCTCACCCTCATCCAATCCTCACAATCTTAAGGTACTAGATCAGGGCAACCATCAAGCGAAGTTCAAACTAAAATCTTTAAGTAAAGCTCAGCTTCCGTTGAGTTTCTTGTTAGCAATGCAGAAATGGTTGCCACTGCCTTTTTGTAAAATATATTTTGACTTTTCAGCCTAGCTTACCGCCTTGGTATTTCCTTGAGATTCAAGTAGTAGTCAGTTTTGATCTTGCACAGATCAGTTAAGCCAAGTATTAGCCTTTGCTGAGACACACAAGTGAAGAAACTTTCTTTTTTAAACTTCTTAAAAATAAAGCCAGTAACTATACAGGTAACTCTTTCCACAAAACAACTTCCTGCCTGTGAAAAAAGCCACATGAGCTTCATGGGTGGATTTTTTTAAAACAAAAAAAATCAGCTTTGAACTTACCATGCTTTTCTTCCAGCGGCATACATCAAGGCCTATCTCCTAGAAAATGGGGTTTGCATTGCAAAGAAGAAAACTAAAGTGGCTCGCAAATCTTTAGACCCCCTGTACAATCAAGTGTTACTTTTCCCAGAGAGCCCGCAAGGCAAAGTACTTCAGGTAAGGTGCAGTTTGTTCACTTTATTTATATTCCACCTTTCTATTGAAATTGCTTTCAAGACACAATAAAAACTAGATAGAATAACATTATGATCAAAACTCTTGTGGGAAGAAATATCTATCTGGTTCAGTTCCAATCCAGGAGGAAGGCACTGGAAATAAAATGGAGGCTGGAGGCTGGCTGGAAAGAGGGTCCATTTATTGATAAAGCAAAAACACCAAGCACTTGTGATTCTGGGCAGCTGACAAAATGGAGTTGAGTGTGGGGTTTTATACCTTCTTTGGGCTTTGCACTTGAGTTTCCTGTTCCTGTGCAAGAACATGTAGTCTATTGGCTGCTGCCAGATTCAAATGGGGTCATGTAGGGCTATGTAGAGGTCATAGCTGGCTCTATAGGCAAAAGAGGAAATGCAAATCCTAGGTGTGTGTCTGAGTTCCCAGGTTTGGTTGAAGTTTGGACTGCTCTGAGGGTGATGCAATTCCTATTGTGGTTTAATGGCTTTCATTCTGTTTTGGCTATTGGGTGAGAGTATTTGCTTATGAATGGAGCTATCTGGATACTTCTTTCAATAAGCTCTTTATCTCTTAAGTGCTGACATCTGCTATGGGCTATTAAGAAAAGATGGGGGCTGCTGTCTGCCTCTAAAACATATTTCTCCATTTCTCATTTAGGAAAATATAATATTCTGACTTTTTAAAATATTCCTCAAAATATTTCATTCTCCTAGGAGAGGGTAGGTGCTGACTTTCTACACTCTTTAAATGAAATGAAAACCATACCAATGGAGGGAGGAGGCGGGGAAGAAGGTACCAAAATCTAATTAAGGAGCAAGAGAGCTTCAAAAGCCCAATGAAATGTGTTTACTTGCTGGCAAAAAGTCTGGAGAGTGCACACAAGAGTGCTGCTGCAATGTTTACACAACATCAGCAAACCAGCTTCTATCTGGCTCTTCTGCAGAGTGAAACTAATATTTTCCTGCTGCAATGTTGTGCTTGTTTGAAATGGTATAGCAGAGAGCTTCCTTCTATCCTTCCTCCTGCCTGCAGAGATCCTCTAAAAGAGATGCTATTCTGAAGGCTTTGTACTTCCACTTAATAATCCCGCCAAAAGAAGTAGAAGTAAATTTGATCAAACTTTTCTGTTTCTCCTCAGCAGAACAAAAAAAAAAAAAAGATCTTAGAATCACAGGCTGCTTCCTGCCACTCCAGTGAAAACATTGTTGAGGGGGAAAAAATATTGCTACAGGATTCTGAGCAGCCACCTTAGAATGTTCTCAATGTTCTCAGCATTTCAAGTCAATAGAATAAACATATAATCACAATTGGTTTATAAACAGCTTTTGAGAGTTTGAGAAGTGAAAATATTAGTCATGTCAAGTACTTGAAATCAAAGCTACATTTCCCTCCTTTTGCAGAGAATTTCTGAAACCATCTCTGGTATTTCTGACAAATATACTCCCAGCTTGTTTATTTTATTTGATGTATATTGCTAACAGTATGTAAAAGTAACGTTGGGCAACTTAAAGGAACATGAAAAAACTAAAAATAAAACAAAACACATTCTACAAAGGTACGGCATTGGAATGTTAAAAACAAACAGAGTAATGAAATAGAAATAACAACAATAATAGAAGCAACTGAGGCTAACCAAATCTTGGTCCCACAAATCTCATTCAAGGGTCTTAAACTCTGTATGGATTCATCCCATGTTCTGATGCAATTTTCAGGGGGAAAGTCAGAGATTTTAGGGCCTTGTGAAAAGAGACATCTTGATCTATTCCAGAGCTTAGGGAAAAATAGGTTTACAAGAGTCATTCAAAGGCAGTTCAAACTTTTGGTGGACTGCTATTGTGTACAGCAGGCAATGGGACAGAAAATATGTATTTCCTAGGATCCGTTTGAAAATGTTACTGGATGAATGGGACTCAAAGCATGCCTGATGGGTCTTACAGAATGGGCAGAAAGAGTGGAGAAAGGCAGTCCCTTGGACAGCCAGGCCCTATAGTATGAAGGCCATGTACTGTACATATGTCATATAACCAATACTTGAAGAAATCAATGACCAGGGAAGTCATATACTTCCCATAATCAGCAGTCTTGCTGCAAAATTCGGGGGCCAGCTGGACTTTCTAAACAATATTCAAAGATACAACCCAGCCCTGTAGTTAAGGATGGTGGAGGTATAATCAAATCAGTAACAGTTACTAGCCTGAAACATATTGAAATATTTATAGACCTTCATTTATTTATATTTATGAATGACACAGTCCCCAATGATTCTAGATGGTATACAAAATGTAATTTTCAAAAACATTGTTCAGTGTAGCTGATAAAAGAATAAACCTCTACCAACTGGCTTGAGTAATTCATATGCCTTAAAAGGGGGGGGGGGATATAATAATGAACCATTCCCCACTGCTTTCCATAATTAGGAATCGTTCCTTTACTCAACTGTACTCTAATTTGTTTTTCTGGTTGTAATAAAAAATGACAAAAAGTGGAAGGAACCATAGCTCAATATGTAGTCACTTTCATACAGGAGGTCTTCAGTACATTATAATTAGAGAAAAAAATGGGTCAGATAGTAAGAGACAGTGAGACCCCCAGCTAGCTATTGTAAGTAAGAATAAACAATGTTGGGGCTTGGAGGATCAAAAAATATAATGTAGATTAAAAGAGATGTCTATATTCCTATAGCTAGGCTGTTAGAAATGCTAATGCTATGTCAAAAGTAGAAATGCAGGAGACAAACCAATAGGTTTTTCCATCTTGGCAATACTGGAACACCTGGTGTCAACTTCCTCTGATATTTTGCTCAAGTTTCTCCTTTTGATGTTGATTAGATCACAGTGTGTGACAAAGTTTGTCAAAAGAAAAAAAAATCCTATATTAAAAATCTCTCAGGATCCATCATTTGTGTTCCTGGATCAAACTCAATCCATATCCTTTTTGTTCCCAAGGTGATTGTCTGGGGAAACTACGGGCGTATGGAACGCAAGTACTTCATGGGTGTTGCTCGGGTCCTCTTGGAAGAACTGGATTTGTCCACTCTGGCAGTTGGTTGGTATAAGCTTTTCCCAACCTCTTCGATGGTGGATCCTACTACTGCTCCCCTCCTGCGCCAGTCCTCACAACTTTCCCTGGAGAGTACAGTAGGACCTTGTTGTGACAGATCTTAATGAGCAAGGAAGTACTAAGGGTACTGATTCTATTTTTAAGATCATGATCTCAAGGTTTTGTTTGCCTGAACGCTGTCCTCAAGTGCATTGCATCTTCAATCAGTCCCTGGGGGAGTCTGAAGGTGAGGATAGCCAAGTAACCTTGATGAAATCAAAATGGAGGCCACTGACCTTTCTCCATCCAAGTAGGAGGAGCTGTGGGGCACAAGTCCTAATTATGAAATGATGCTGATAAGACACACTTTTCGGTTTTTCATTTATTCACTGTCATCTGCACACCTTCAGATCAATGTAACATCTTGAAATGTTGCAACCATTTATTTTCATTGGGGAAGATGTTCTTTTTTAATACTATTTTACAAATTTGAAAATAAAATGAACTTTGGCTATTCTTAATTATTCAAAGCAAACATCTGACCTAAATAACAGCAGTTTCAGGGAAACTTTACGGGGTTTGTAAATGTTCTTTTTCCTTTTAAAGAGTGGGGAGGAGGGAGAAAGAACTGCAACTATTTCTTAGAGCAAGTTGCATTTAAGGTACAAGTACCATTGCTATATTTTTTTAATACTGTGCCAAATTACCAGCAGTGTCTTCTACTACTATAGGACTTAGGTCAACAATACTGCTGAAGAATTATTTTGTGGGAAGAACTAGAAAAGATTCTAGGTCAATCAGTTGCAACACAGAACATAGCAAACCACTTAACTGGAACACTGCGCAAAAATTACAAATTGGAAAATTTGTAGAGATTAGATTTATTATTGGATATGAACATTGTCAGCACACAAAGACACACACCATACCTTACCTCAGCTTTTGCTGTGCTTCTTCTCGTTGTGTCTTCTTATTCCCATATTCTAGCCATGCTTTGGATTTTTAGTGCATATCTTTTGATGTAGAATAGGGTTTGGTTTCAAGGACAATAATTTATTCCACTCTTGCAAGTAAAATTACAATATAAAGGTTTGCTTTATTTAAGGGACTGCACTAAGATACAAGAAGATGACATTCCATTTATCATCTGAGAGATATGTGCAAAGGGTCTTGGGAAGCTACATTTAACAGAAGGACATTTTATTTGATCCAGTGTTGAGAGGCAACCTGGGGGAAGAAGAGGAAGAGTTGGATTTTTTCATAGTTCAGTTGCAGGAAGTAGTAAAGGCATTTTCACAAGTGACTCTAAAAGCATTATGAGGTATTTGAAGTTATTTGTGTTCATATGTGAATTATTATAATGCACTTTTGAATTAATGAGCGCAGGGAATAATTAAAATTGGCATTTTGGCTTTCATGTGGCTTTGTATGCTTGTACATATAGCTAATCTATGAGTGAACATGTCCTACTCGTATTATATTCTTGATTCGTCCATGCATCATTATACAATTGTACATGTTCCAGAAGCAGCAAATAAGGATATGGCTTCTACTGTGCTAGATATACTGATCTACATCTAGCATAACGAGAATGTTTACTTTTTAGCAGAGTTAACTTTAAATCACCTTCAGTTTGCAGATGGAATAATGACTTTCTAACAAAAGTCACTTGTGAAAATGCTCCAGTTATTGCAGATTACCTTTGGGAGAATTTGAAACCTCTAAGAATAATAATAATGTAAATATTTTAAATTAGCCAATAAAAAGGTTAGCTATATATACACATATATAATATACAGCTAGACAATGATTATCAACAACAGTTGGTGGTGGATAATTTAATCACTATCCTAGATTACCTGGGCATTGTTCTAAATGAAGGCAGTAGAATTGCCTCTCCAATCTGGTCCTCACCAAATGTTTAGATTACTTGGCCCTAAATTCCCAGCCAGCATGAAGGATGTCCATATTTGGCTGGGAATTCTGGGATTTATACCCCAACACATCTAGAAAGTAACATTCATAAGAAGACTGCATTAGAGACAGCTGTTTAAAATGGTGTTTCATGCCAGGATTAGAAATTCTATCTAGATGTTATCATATATTCCTTTTAGTTTCTACTCTAATGATTGCTATGTTTTCTCTGTTAGAATGGCAACAGTTGTCTTCATTTCACAATTCAAGATTCCAAATTATGTATTAATATTTTGGAGCCATTTGAAAATGGCTTCCTAACCTGTTATTACAGCAGAAAGTAGTAATCAGGGGACACACACACAAAAAAAAGCATGGCTAAAGCATGACTATAGGGATACCCATGGAATGAAATCTAGACAGTTGTATGTTATATGTAGCATTTTAATGGTTTGTAAAATAGCAATCAAATGTTGATTGCAAAATCAATAGGTCAAGTATGAACTCTGCTAGAAATAATCTAATATAGATAATAGAATACAAGAATGATATTAATTTTAAGCATTTACTATCATAAAACCTCCAGAGTTTCAGTCTGATTGTCTAAATCTATTTTATTTATGTGCTTTCCAGAGAATTTCTTTCAACATTCATATCAGAGAATTTCTGTGTATAGACTGAAAAAAGATAGTTGCAGTATAGACGCTGGTCAAATTATGTTATGACTCTTTAAGTTTATTTTTAAAAACCTTATACTTCAAGTTGGTATATAGTCATATTTATGTATAGTAATTATTAGGCAATATTGTACAATATCTGTATGAATTAGAATAGTTTAGGTTAGATTTAATAGTTGGTAGCCAATCTAACTATCTTGCTGTTTAGAAGAATTATAGGAAACTGATGCATTTCAGGATTGGGAACTGAAGGGCAGATGTTTGTGTTTTATAAATTTAAAAAATGTTTTGGTTATTCAAACTTATAACTTTGATCGTATTTCATATGTGTTCTGCAATCAGCTGCCAATTTTTACCGCAAATTTAAATATTCTTTTTTTCTTATATTCCCGGGATAATTGTCAACAAAATAAAACAGGCAACAAAAGCTACATCAGAAAAAAAAAACAAGGATTCCAGTAAGAGATTCTATTAAATATAGCAAAATAGAAAATTAACATGATTAAAATTCACTTCTTAATAGATTAAAGCCCTAGAAGCATAAAAAGAGCCTTGCATGCCTAGGGCAAAAACCATTGCTAAAAAGTTGAATGGGATAAAGATGATGAAATTTTCAGTTAGTTCTCATCCTCTGAGAAATTCTGCCTAAAGCAGTCTTGATTGAGAAGTATACATTATGGCATATGATTTAATATATGTAAATGTACACCCTGCATTTTGAAATAGGCAATGAAATATAAAGTTAACTTATACATTTGTGGTTTAAATATTTATTTACTGCAATATACAGCTATCTGACTTGGAAGGTTGCGAACAACAATTAATATGCAAACTTGTACAGGAAAGTATGAAAAGTAGTAGAATACCAGCTGCATTGAAATATTTCTGTTAATTCAAGCTCATTTCAGTCCCAACATGAAGTCCTGGTGCATGTACGACATGTGGAAAATGGGAGGGGAAGAGGTACTTGTAGCCTTTTAAATTTATGGAAATTATTTAGCCTTCTCATTCCTAGCATTCAGAACAAAAGGCTTTCCCTGAATATGGCTATATTATGGGAATGGTATTATTAATACCATTCCCATAATATAACAAAACATAATATAACAAAACTGTGTCATCAGAGGGAATTAGCAATGCTCATGGTTGCAAGAGTCCAGCAATTATCATAAATGAAAAGGGAGGTATATAGGTTTGATATGAAAATAACCACTTCCAAGCCCTACCTACATGCCTACCTTAAAAAAGATCTTGTTCTTTTTTGGCATCAGAATTAAGTTATATTTTTAGGTGCAGTTTTTCTTCACCCTGTATACATCTGATAAAAGATGAGCAATTATTCTTTTTAAAACTGAGAGATCCAAAGATGGTATAGAAAATTGCAAGAGAATAAAGACAGGATTTCTCTTCCATCTTCCTAAAGGTAGAAAAGGAGAAACTAAGATTTGTTAAGAGTGAAAAGATCTGCCCATAATAGTATTCATGGCACAGGATATACCCAGATTCAGAATTGAAATCTGTTTTTGAAAGAGGAAACTGAATCCGGGTTTCCAGTGCCTGAGAGTATCTGATTATTCTTTCTCGATAAGTAGAATTTATTTTGAAGATGAGAGATAAAACAAAATCCAGTAGTTCAACCCATTTCTAGCTCTGTGGTGAGAGTTCTGAAGAAAGAACAGAACAAATCACGAATGGTTTTATTATATATATAAAAACGCCTTTTTAATGTTTCTAATACTGGATCTCTTCTAAATGTACTGTTTAAAAAGTAGTCATAAATTAATGTATAGAATGAAATTCTGTAGATGTTGAGGCATTAAGAATCTCAATGTAAGCATGTATAGTAGAAACCATCTTAGATAGCAGGTCAACTTTTTAATGAAATACATTCTAAGTTTATTACAGGCTGTTTGACACTGGAGAAATATGTTCTTTAAAAACAAAAATGCTGTATTTTTTTTTTACAGAAGCTATAATTTAATCTTTTTTTAAACAGAAAATGTTTTGTGCTCTTGGTATAATATTGTTTTTTCTTGTCCATAGAAACATTTTTAAAACCTACTAGAAATAAATGGGTTACCAGATCATAGTAACTGATTTGTCCATTAAAACAGAACTTCAGCACAACTAATAAATTAACTTTGAAAGACTTTATTGATTTAATATTAGATACAGTATATTATAATTTAAACCTTTTAGTCTGGAAATGCAGAAATATGTAAATAGCTACCAGGAAATCTTCCTGTAGAAATTTCACTTGAAATTATAATTTAATAATATTAATATTGTGTAAGAATATTTGCAATTCTTTATTAAATCACTGCTAACAATCTTAAGAACTAAGCCTTTCTTGAAGGAATTGATGTTGTAATTTGAAGCTGAGGGAGAAAAAAGAGACTTACTTTGCTAATTGTCCTAATCCTATATCCCTATAAACAAAATAAAAGAGTCTTTTATAATAAGTTTAAATAGTCTTACAAGCAATAATATCTTATTTTTTGGTGTGTATTGATTGTGATGTAGAAATGGCAGTA